GATCAGAGTTCATAGAAGAGGTCCACGAAACCTTCAAGATTTGAAGACTGTTTGTGTGGAAGAATGGGCCAAAATCACAATTCACAATCACAAAATCACCCAACTGTGATTATGTTTTTTTTGCCAATACGGCCCAACCCTAGTGACTGATGACTTCATGCTGCAGTGAACTGTATATAAGTTTTGCTAGTTTCCCATCAGAAACCAGTTTGATGGAAGCAGAGCTATCAGTTATGCTAACCCTTCATATTAAATCACTGAGTTATTGTTATAATCCATCCTGTCTCGTCTCGTTGTTTTGATTGTGTTGAAGTCGTATAACATTTGGACTGCCACATCCAGCAAGATTTCAAACAGAATGGATTATTTTTCTACTTTAATGCACCTGAATGTCACTTTAACCAAAGTTATTSTTTAGTTTATTTAGGACTTGKAGCAGAGCAAGTTAASAGCACCTCATGCTGGGGAGAGGCTGATATTTTGAGTWATTTGTTTTTTAGCTGTTTGTTTAACAGACTACTTATAGTTTAATTAGTATTATGCTGTATAATTTCATTGTTATTATGTTTACATGGATCAATGTTAAAATACATCTGAGTAAAATATTAAGTTTGAGGTTCAAATTCATATGTTTCATAAGTTATTTTAATTAGCTGGGAACTTGTTCAGTTAAAGTAGAGACACTGGATAACAGGGTCACATTCACAGCTGGAACAGGAGGTGCACTCACAGGAAGTGTGACCAAAAGAATCGTTGAGTAATTGACTTATTGAAAAAAATAATCTCAGATTAGTCGAATAATATCAAAATGGTCATTAGTTGCAGCCCAGTGCAGCTTTGGGAACTGGACATTTGTTTTCTGTCACAGGAAAGATGCTGTACAGCTGTAAAAACACAGCTGCAGTGCTCGTGAGACAGGACGGAGATACCTGCTCCAGGTTCCAGATAGTTTGGAGGTGCCCCAACAAATTTAAGGTTGGTTTAGTAAAGGTTGAAGACACCTGTTTCAAATCGGAGTTTGATTTAAGACAGGTTGCATGGCCCAAAGTTCAGGTTGACACGAGTTGATGACACTCGCAACATTTTTGTAACTATTAAAAAAAGGGMTTTTGGTTCAAAATATAAAGGCCCTGTCACACTAGACAACTTCTGAACATTTTTTAAAGACATCTACATTGAAGATGGAATTGAAAAAAATCAACATGAAGCTTCTTTTTGGCGTGTACATAATGTTATTCAAACAAATTGATCAAATATATAACTTTTATTAACAATTTAGACATAAAAAATGTTTCATAAGTTGGCAGAAGTTGTCTAGTGTGACAGGGTTTTAACAGACAAGTCTTGAACTCTCAAACTTCATAAGAAGTTATAACTTC